CCTATTATGGACGTTTTAAGTATGTCCAGTTTAGTAAATCCTCTGGACGTCAAGAAATAGATATCCGCAAAACGTCAATTGTACGTGCTTTACTATATTTCCATGGATTCGCATTCGCATTGTATTATTATTTGGTTACATTATACAAAAAACATATATAATGAGATGGGTCTTATGATTGAACGTTTATGTTATCCATAACGTACATGTTAGGTCGAATTTTAACAGTAACGAAGCAAGTTTGTATGATGGAAAACTGTTAAATTAGAACATAACAGGCGGAAAATAACAATAATGTGTTGGAAACCGTTTTTCATCATACGAACTTGCCTAATTACTGTTAAAACTGAGCCTAACATGTACGTTACGGATAACGTAAACGTTCAATCATAGGACCCAACATAAATAATTATTAAAGATGGCATTGTCCCAATATCCAATTGAATGAAGGCCAAATAGACAAAAAGGTAGAAGATCTTTTGCAAGAAAGTGACATTGTTGACAAGTGACTTTTTATTTTTATTTATTTTTGATATGATTCAGATTCAAGCACTGAAGTGAAATATTCCCAGGGCTCAGGTTTTATTAAAAAAAAGTGTTCAATGTTCATGATTCGATAGTATATACATATTATACGAGTACAAGTTTTATCATTCCGCCATTTGTACCATTTTTATATCTGAGAAAGGTGGAAGTTTTTCAAAGCTAAAAGGTTAGTGAATTTATAATGTCTTATTATTTTGAATAAACGATTAAATTATTTTCAGATTCAGTTGAGAAGGCAATTATGACCAAATCTAGATAAAAACTGACTGCTGTCAATCCAGGCATGGTTGAAAAGAGCAAAGTAGAGGAGTTTTTAAGTGAATACTACATAGCTAAAAGGTTAGTAAATACATAATGTCTAGCAAAGCAACCAATAGATTGGATTTTCATATTGATCTGCCTTTCATTTTGAATAAGCGATTAAATTATTTTCAGGTTTAACTGAGAAGGCAAATATGACTAAATCAAGAAAAAAAAAATAACTGCTGTCAATCCAGGCATGGTTGAAAAGAGCAAAGTAGAGGAGTTTTCCAGTGAATACTACAAAGCTAAAAGGTTAGTGAATTCATAATGTCTAGCAAGGCAAACTTAAACAGATTGGATTTTCATATTGATCTGAATTTTGAATAAGCGATTAAATTATTTTCAGGTTCAACTGGGAAGGCAAATATGGCCAAATCAAAAAGAAAAAAAACAACTGCTCTCAATCCAGGCATGATTGAACAGAGCAAAGTAGAGGAGAGACGGGATGAATTTGTCGAAAAAGTTTTAATAATTTCACTATTTATAGGTTATTTGCTTCCAAATAAATTTTTTTGAAATTATTCAGTATTTTCACTAATTTCCTTACATCCTATTATTCCCCATTTGAGCTTCTGAAAATGTCCATGGAATGTCCTTAAATGGACGTTCTTAAGACATCCTGATTATTAACAATGGACGTTCCAAATACGTCCATAAGACGTCCACGGCCGTGAAATGGACGTTTTAAGGATGTCCTGAATGTCCAAGCAGGACGTTTTTAGAACGTCCATAAGACGTATTTGTGCTATCTGGGCAGCGGATCCGCTAGCTTGAATTTCCATAGTAGCGGCACAGATTCAGACCCAGCTGGTTTTTTGTAACTTTTTTGTAGCTTTTTGTTACGCCTGTCTCGATTTCGTTGCGAGGCCTGAGCGTAAGTGTTAATCGTTTCTCCATGAACGTTAGAGAAAAGTGCGTTAATTTAAAATCAAGTTTCGGCCTCTACAAGTAATATGTGCAACTCGATAGTGTGACTATCTGTTGCTAGATGGCACCAGTATTACATTTCACGAATTATGGCCATCTTCCACCCAATATATTTTTGAGAAATTTAGATATAATCTCAAAATCGGACATTTGTTTTTAAAAATGTTTTTTATTGTTGTTTATGTATTTATACTTTTGTTGAATCACGAATATTCTTATATCTTTTTTGAATGATTTTCTTAACCAATCGTTTTGCAGTATTTATGGACCAGTGTTTAATTCTGTCCGATCGCAAAATAAACTTGGTAGCTATTACCACCGGTGTGAAGTTAGCAGTAAGTTTTAGCAGTAAAAATAACCGAAAACACCCGATCGGGAAAACAGTGGCATCCGGCATACAACTATTTTAATAATCTTGTCAATATGCATTTTACATTAATATCGGACAAATAATAATATACATACCGAAGAAAATTAGCCTTAAAATTGATAAAAATATTTATCCTGTGAAGGAAAGGAAATCAGATCAAAATTTAATTTTATGTTTAAAAAATCATAAATATACGCTCTAGGTAAACATTTCTTCGGGTCCGTCGAACAGGGTAAAATTACCCCATAAAATTCATAAAATCCTGTGAAGTGTTTAATATTTAAAAAAATCAATAGTAGACTTACTAACATACCTACAGTTTAAGCACAAATCCCTTTGGACTCGTCAGGACAGGGTAAAATAAGCCAATAAAAATTTACAAAATTGTTACCATATGAATGCGATACATATTTTCTACTTACTTTTACATTAAAAAATAATAAATGAACTAAACAATGAAGGATGAAAGCAAACATCCCTTCGGACTCGTCTAACAAGGTGAAATTAATTTTTAAAATTAAAAATAAATACTTAATCTAGGATGGGTATCAAATTTCAACTTAATGCTTACATTCATAAAATAAAAAATATACTAACATAAACAGTAAAAAAATCCCTTCGGGTCCTTAAAACAGGGTGACATTTATAATTAAAAATAAATATTTACCCCATGAAGTGAAAATCCCTTCGGACCAACTTTCTTTTACAATCAAACAAATAAATTTAATATGTAACACACTGTAAGCGAAAATCCCGTTTGACCCGTCGATAAAGCCGAAATTAACCCTTAAAAACCCCAAAAAATAACTATCCTATGAAGCCGGTCAAATTCATTCTTGCTTTTGCACTCAAAAAATCAAAAATGCATTCATCAGAGTACATTAAAAATTAAAATCCCTTCAGACCAGTCAAACAAGGTGAAATTACCCCTTTAACTTCAAAATAAATAATTACCCAATGAAGACTATTAGATTTCAAGTTGGTTTTACATTTAAAAAATCATAAATATCCTCACCAAGTACTCTGTAAACTAAAATCCTTTAGGACCCGTTTAACAGGGTGAAATTAACCCTTAAACTTCAAAATAAATAATCCTATGAAGACGATCAGTTCCCAACTTGGTTTTATATTTCAAAAATCATAAATAACCTTAGTATAAAACGTTATAAGAGACAATTCCTTCGGATCCGTCAAACAGAGCGAAATTGACCCGTAAACTAGCTGTATGCCGGACGCCACTGTTTTCCCGATCGGGTGTTTTCGGTTATTTTTACTGCTAAAACTTACTGCTAACTTCACACCGGTGGTAATAGCTATCAACAGTGTCTCTGCTATTAAGCAATTATTCTCAATATATGCTGCGTTTGAGAATCCACATCGGATGCATTTTTTGCATCTCGAGCGTTTTTTTATCCACATCGGACACATCTGTCCCATTACATTTACGTATACTGAATCACGTGATCAAAGATTTTTTACATCTAAAGGTGAGTTCGGGCTGCGCACTCCAGAGTGGAGTGTAGTAATTAGGCGTAAACGGAGTGCGAATATGATTTTACTCCTTTAACTCTCGGAGTGAAATGTCAATTGTCAATGTGACATACCAGTACTTAAAATTTAATCGTACTTGTCAGTAACGACCGTATAAGTTTCTTCCATATTAATGATATTCACGGGAACCAAAAAAAAATTTATTTACTAAAGAATCGCTCACAATTAACTTATTATCAATTTAAATCACCTTATGCGCATGCCCGATTCACACTCCACTCCACCATCTCCGAACGGTCAAAGAGGAACTTTTATTTTAACTCCTTCCGTACCCGAACGCCTTAGGTACTTTAGGAGTGAATATAGTGAAAAGAGTGCGTAGACCGAACTCACCATAGATGCATCCGATGTGGATTCTCAAACGCGGCAATAATAGTTGTGATCGGACAGAATTATTTAACACTGGTCCATAAAAACTGCCAAACGATTGGTTAAGGAAATCATTCAAAAAAGATGTTAGAATATTCTTGATTCAACAAAAGTATAAATACATAAACAACAATAAAAAACATTTAAAAACAATGTCCGATTTTGAAATTATATCTAAATTTCTCAAAAATATATTGGATGGAAGATGGCCATAATTCGTGAAATGTAATACTGGTGCCATCTATCAACAGATAGTCACACTATCGAGTTGCACATATTACTTGTAGAGGCCGAAAATTGATTTTAAATTAACGCACATTTCTCTCAGCTCATGGAGGAACGATTATTACTCACGTTCAGGCCTCGCCACTAAATCGAGACAGGCGTAACAAAAAAGCTACAAAAAAGTTACAAAAAAATGAGCCTGGTCCGAGCTGGTGCCGCTACAAATATCCGCTAAGCTAGCGGATCCGCGCTTTTCTCAGGTTCAGTACAAGCTACAAAAGGGAGACTAGCGTAACAAAAAAGCTACAAAAACGTTACGAAAAACCAGCTGGATCTGAATCTCTGCCGCTACTATGGAATTTATGTTAATTCAAGCTAGCGGATCCGCTGTTTTTTCGGACCTGGGCAAAGCTACAAATTCGCAAATAGCGTAACAAAAAAGCTACAAAAAACCCACCAGGTCTTGTATGGTGCCGCCACAGAGTGCCCGCTAGCTTGATATAGCCCCGCCACAGAGTACCCCCCTAGCTTGATACATCTATTTTTTTTTTTTTTTTTTTTTTTTTAGAAAATGTAATTTGTGTACCTCAGAAAAAGAGGCTGTAATTGATAAACAAGGAAAAGAAGAAAGTGTGGTTATATTCTTATATTTTTGTTTTGTTTAATACGTCAAACCAGGTCAAACTCAAATATTTTAATTATTTTTTAGTGTTTGTGTATTTACTGTTGCCGTTGTTCATATGGATGGCTGCTAGTCTTATTCTGAAATAAAAAATGACTTCAGAAGAACAAAAACTGGAGCAAAAACCCGTTTTTAAAGTCTCCTCATTCCAATATCAGAATGCAAATAAGAAGAAATGTGTTTGGAAGGGGCTTAAACAGATTATTACATCTGAAAAAGCCCTTCCTTGGCCTGACCACTGTGTGCACTATGGCTCTATAAACGCTCCTCCTTCGTTTAAGCCACCCGAGAAATTTTCAGATCTATCTGGCTTGCCAGCTCCATATACAGATCCTCAAACCAGATTACGATTTGCTAATAAAGACGAATATGCAACGATGATTGATTTGCCAATGGACATAACCGCTGGATATTTGACTTTAAGAGGAGCAACTAGTATTGTAGGCTGAAGATTAAGATAAATAAACTTTTTTGACTAAAGGTAAGTTTATAAGAATGTAGGTGTATAATTCAGACTTAGAGATGCCACCTGTACGGTTTTCACCTGGACTGTCTAGTTTTTTGAAGGTGTCTCATGACGAGAATGTCCAGGGATACCTATCTGGATATCTTTATATTTTTATTTTCAATAAGTCCAACTAAATAATACTTTATAACTGTGATGGTCGAACACACCTTAGCATAAAATGAGGGAATATAAAAATTTCAAATTTAGGTAGTTAAGTACTATTTTTAATTTTTTCTAAAGATTTAAAAGCAAATATGTACTTAGATAGGTTAGTCGTAGTCCGGATTTTGGAAAATGAAAAGGTGGCAACCGTGATTTAGACAGGCAAGCATCAATAAAACCTGGAAAAAAATATTGCTTAAATAAAAATAACACAAAATTTTTCACTTTTAAATGTTTAAAAATCATTTTAACTGTTTAGATATAAAATGATTTTTCAACAGGTTACATAATTGTAGAATAGTATTTAACAACATTTTAAAAATTCTTCATAACTCTGGAAAATGATTTCATGTCATACAATGAGCATTGAGAGGGACATTTTCAAGTTTTGCAGCAGTTTGTCAAATGTATTTTAAAATTTCACCACATCTTAATTTTCATTTTACTTTTCCAAAATAAGTTTCTTAGAATACAATTTGTTAGAAAATAAATTGAATATCATTTTCTACATATCTTAGACATTAAACTATTAAAATATATTGTAGACAATCCTAAGATGTTCTACATTTTCCATTTCTTGTTTTTCACATATTTCACAAATTTAAATTGTTTTAGGTAGATTATTGAAAAATAATAAGAATATACTTGAAATCTGTTTTCAATTTTCTGGAACAAGAAGTAATCCATCACAAAGACAAGAAAATATGTCTCTTTAATACAAACAAAAAATTTCTAATATAGGTTTGTTAAGTTATTCTAAATATAGACTAATAGTATTGTAAAGTAAAATGTAAAAATATTTAAATTGCTTTTACCAAATAAATTATAGTTTTCTCTTTTTCTTGATTTTAACATCTCTATACAAACCTAAGTTTATTAAAATAGTAAGTTACTGTTTTATGGTCTTGTTTTGTATCATTTTGTAAGGTGGGCTGAGGGTTCTGCATGTTTACAGATGGTGATTTATGGGATTTGGCAGGATGTAGGTGGCAGCTGGATATTGTGAAGGAAAACGGCACTGAATAGCACCAAATGTGAATTTAATAAGCCATACCGTTGCACAATATTACTATCTGAATGACTAACTTAAACAATTTGGGAAAACAATGATAATTAACTTTGGGGAAAAATGTCCATTAACCTATGTCGCTCACCATGACAATTGTGTCCATTCTCTCTCTCCCCCTAGTTTACGGTTTTTCCAGTGGGTGGCGCATCTGTACAATACTACTCAGGGACGGCTCGAAGAGTATGAAGTTACAATTTTTAAAACATCAAATTATGTTAATTGAAAGAAACATAGACCTAAAACTCAACTAAGTACTGTTGCCATTATCAAATTATAAGAATAATAATATAATTTTTATTTAATACTTTAGAATACAGAGATGCTATGAAGATGAAGAAGTGTTTACACCTTTGCATTACACTCTTACTTCGTATGCGTATGTCAAACTCCAGATATTTGAGCTAGTTAGTTTTGGTTAGAATAAATGGCATTTTTTTTAAATGGATTCATTTAAATGATATAAAATCATTTTCATGCCGTCAGTCTTCAAATATAAAATTATTGACTTCAAATAAATCAAAGTACTTTGATTTATTTGCACTTGTTCGTCAAAGTTAGTCGCAAAAAAATTATAACGCTCCGACATGCGTGATTTTTTCCAAGGCCTACTTTAGAAACATTTTTTGTGGATCAATCCATATTAATGAGAATTTTAATGAACGTTTTTGTAACCAGTTGTAAATCTCTAAATAGTCACCTCGATAGTCACCCACTAGAATATTGTTACAGTTTTGCATTTATTTTAAACAGAGCATACAGCTGCATAAGAAAGTTGGCTTTAAACTAAGCAGGTGAAATAAAAACAAACTTTTTTCATATTTTAGGATAAGCAAGACTTTTTTGCCAATACTTAATGACAATTTTTAATGAAAATGAATATAATAGAAACCAGTTGCAAAATGCCTTATTTTATGTAACGAGTGAATATTTTCTGAACGAGCAGAGCGAGGCCCCGCAACATGAATGATTTACCTAAAACGGCATTGCGTAATGTGTTACATATAACGTTTTTTCTAATTGTGACTAAAATTTTGTTTTGGTCAAGCATTACCGACATTTAGGCTAACAATATTACTTTCTTGTATTGTTAGTTGCATATGCATCATTTTATTGACAATTAGAACCACGATTAGAACATCATTATTAATTATTTATTCTCAACGACTTATGTGTTTATATTGTTTATTAAAGTTACTTAGTTTCTAAAAATGGGTATTTTGTCGTGTATTGTGTTTTAAATATTTTGTGTATATTTGGACTGGAAAATAAGAACCAAAACAACATTATTACTAGGTTGCAAGTTTAACCAAATTCTATTAATATAAGTCAACCTGCCCTTCTTTGATGTAAACTTTCAATATTAATGTATCTTATTGATTTTAAAACCAAAGAAGGTTTATTTTTATTTGTTTTCTTTTCTCCACTGCCCAGACAACACACCAAATCCCAGAGATATCCGCAGAATATCTTTTGTGGATATCCAATACAAGATATCAGAAATATTCCGTGGATCTAATATGGATATCCAAATGTCCGTCTATATCCAGGATATAGTAGATATCCTAATGGATATTCAGCAAAATATCTAATGGGCACAGTTTATAGCTTAAAAGAATCAGTTCGCTCACTCGGACCAATTGGATGTTCCAAAATAACATCCACTCCAGGGATACAAATTCAGGATGCGCAAAAGACTGCTGTTTGAATATTCGCTCCGTGCGCGACAGCAGCGCCAATTCGTTTTGATACTAATGGACTATTTCTGCGTATACTGACAAATGCAACTTTTAATAGAATTTGTAATTAAAAAGTATATATGTTAGTTTTTATAAAAGTATATGAATTTGTAAAACAAGTAAAACATTGATTTATTATTATTATATATTTTTATCGCTTAAATTAAAGAAAATTATGTATAATCGATAAAAATCAATAATAAAATATAGGCAGGCAACAGTATTTACTGGAAAATGTATGAGGAGTTGCCTAAGTCTAATAAGTTTTCATTGAAGAATTAGCCTATTCTATCAAAATAAAAAAATACCATTTAATAATAGCGTGAAGTTAAAATGTATAAAAAAAGGATCGTTACTTAAATTTTCATTTTTGTTCGAAAGAAAACATAGAATGAATGATTAAAACTGATTTCCCATCGGTAAGTTACAAAATTGCGTTCCAAACACATATAATACTCAAAGGCAGAAATCTTGAAATCTAGTCCTTGCTGAATGAACATTTAAGAATAAAGGGATATTAAAGAACATCCTAAAATGATAATGTATTGTTTATTTGAAACCTTTCAAGTTTCTGATGTCTACTATTTCCAGCATTATGGTTATTATTACAAAAATAAAGGTAATTTTTCTTCTTATTGTATATCTATCCATTTATTTCTTTGATTTAATTTCCACTTTGCTACTGAAGTTTTTTATATAAGTTTCACTGCTTTTTTGCTAGTATTTGTACAATTGTCAACACAGCAACTCCGGTTGCTTATTGTATTGTTTTTACCCACTTTTTTTGAAAAAAAGTAAAATGTATACGTGTATTTGGTATGCCAAAATTACAAAATATCGCCCTAAAATGCACGAATACTGTATCCGCTGCATCCGCTAGCGCTAGTATCGCATTTGCTTCCCTTTCCATGACTTCGCACGGAGCGAATAGGCGGTTGTCATATATTGTATTAGGCATTCCAACGACCTGTCAAACAATAGGTACCAGTGGGAAATTCTTGTATATTTAAGGGGGTAGCGACATAGTCTTGCAACTTGGACGCTATTTTTATTCGAAGTAGTACTCGCCAAGCCTGCAAATTTATGAAGAAATGTATAGGTGGGTTTTTTAAATATTATTTTTATTGTGTTTGACATAAAATATTTAAATGTAATCCATTATTCATGATTTTACGTAAAGTAGATAGAATACACCATATGTCGCCACCCTTAGATATACCAATCCTGCCCACTGGTAATTAATTTGTTTGGATTGCCTAATTAGGCATTCCAAACAAATGAACTGCCAGTGGGAAGATTTGATATATCCAAGGGTTGCGACATACGATATATTCTGTTTACAATACGTAAAATCATGAATAATGGATTACATTTAAATATTTTATGTCAAACACAATAAAAATAAGATACATTTTTTCATAAATTGGCAGGCTTTGTGACTATTATTTCGAATAAAAAAACACGTTCAAGATGCAAGACTATGTCTCTACCCCCTTAGATATACCAGACCTTCTCACTGACAGCTATTGTTTGACAGGTCGTTGGAATTAGGCATTCCAAACTGAATGTCTACCAGTGGGTTCTGACGGGTTATGATATGGCAAAATTATGGCAACCCTGTAGGCCTGGTGATTTGACAAGGTCAATGAAATAGATAGTTACATAGATTGATTATCCATATTTTTCAAAATAAACATAAGCTTATGCCTTGAAGTAAAAATGTAAGCAATTATATTTTTTTAAATATCTAAAGGCTAAAAATTTGTTTTAAAAGATATTTTTGCTAAACCGATTCAAATTAATAAATATTTGCCAGGCAATATGGCCGCTCGTAAACGACCAGCTTTAAGCAAACTATATAACTATATATGTATCATTGACCCTGTTAATGACAACATGACAACAGGGTTGCCATATCTAAACTGTCATTACCCACTGGTAGCCATTCGGACAGGTCGTTGGAATGCCTAATGCTTAATTAGGCATTCCAAACAAGTGAATTACCAGTGGGCAGGTTTGGTATATCTAAGGGTGGCGACATATGGTGTATTCTATCTACTTTACGTAAAATCATGAATAATGGATTACATTTAAATATTTTATGTCAAACACAATAAAAATTATATTTAAAAAACCCACCTATACATTTCTTCATAAATTGGCAGGCTTGACGAGTACTACTTCGAATAAAAATAGCGTCCAAGTCTCAGAGTAAGTAAGTAGTAAAGAGAGGACAGTAAACAATGTTTGTGTCGCCATGATAATATGGTTGAGAATCGCATACAAAATTCTAATTAGAGAGAAATAGATTAATATCTCTATCTCTTTGTTTGTATTTGTCAGTTTTACAAAGCTTTTCTCAGACAATTATTCCAGTGTTTAATTCAAATTTGTTCGTGTTGTGGTGTTAAAAGTAATTGTAGTTTGTTGTGTTTATTTTACAATTAGGAAAAATGACTAAAACTTTTATGTGGATTAAAATCTATAAGAGGAAAAGAGGTTACGTTTCACTCGTAAGTATTGCGGTATTTGGCATAGGCGTCGCAGAGGCGAAAAAAAATAAATTAATATATTATGAGTATTAAAAAATAAAACTGGTATTCTATTTCTAGTCTTCCAAAAGATGCAATTAAAAGAAATTTATGGTTAGAGACACTTGAGTGGAATGAAACATTAGAAGTTGGAAGAATTTATTACATCTGCTCAAGGCATTTTTCAGAGGACTGCTTTGCTGTACCAGTGGGTTCTCCTTGTACACGTTTGAAACCTGATGCAGTATCAAATATATTGTAGGTTGAAATTTCTTAATATATCAAGCATTTTTAAAAAATGTATCATAACTTTTTAGGAACCCTGACATAACTCAAACAAGGCGGGAAGAAGACCGTAGTTATGAATCTATGTCACCTCAAAAAAAAACTAGAAGGTATTGTTT